TTCCCCCCAACACTCTCCCTGCAGCCCCTGGCCCTCAGCAGTTCGAGCTGCTGGAATAAATCCCCATCCCAAGCCATACACATGCACCAGGTGCTCAGGGACAAACAGATTTGTACCAAGAAGTTGCTCACCAGCAACAGCATAGATACCTTCCACTTTATTTTTAGCATCTCCTTCCTCTGAAGGATGGGTGGCCACCCATCTATCTTCTCAACCCACCCTGCCAAAAAGAAATAGTTGAAAACTGACAGCGTTCAGCTATTTTTCCAGGCTAATTCTTTATGCACTTTTGTAATTAAAAAGTGCTAAAAGTATATTATGCAAGTTAAATTGCTAGTGCCCGATGACATGCATCTGCCATGCTGATGAATATAAATTATGTTCACCTCACACCCCTTTAGCAAGTGCCAGTTAAGATCAGACAAATTGAAACATGTAGAGTTGTTTGGGTTTAACTAAACCATTTGGATCTAAATACAGTTTCTTTAGAAGTCAAGTCTTTTAAGGCTACACAAGTAGTTTCTGCAGTAGTTAAAGCTAAACAGAACTCCAGCTGCACTTGAAAGACATCCATAGCATTTCTCTTGCAGTCATATACATTATGCATTACATATGTGTAGGGCTCTAGGTTCTCAAATAGCCCAAGACATTCAGGTGGTGGTTAGCAGAAGCATTGAAATGTTAATCTCTTCCCAACAAGCTTACTCCACCTTTACTAGGATCAAGCATGTCACTGAATAAGAAGTAAAGCTGCTCCCTGAAAGGCTAGCCTTTAGACATCCATTAATTAAAATACGAAAAAGTCTTAAGAGCTTTTTCTCCTTCTGGCTAGTAGGTAGTGTGGGCAGTCAGTACTAGCCCGATACAAGAGTTCCTGGGGTACTTTGGGCAACCTCACACTGTTTCCTCCAGTCTGAAAAGCACTGTTGACTGTGGTTATACATTTGTAAAGGGTAAAAATAACACTGGAGATCTTAGCTAACCTAGACCTCAATATTCAATGAGAGCTGGAGATAGTGGCATGGAGCTTGCTGCAGGATAATGGTACAAGTTCACACTTCAAAGAAGATTAGTCAGAGCTTAAGATCTACTTAGCTTTAGGAAGAAGATGGATTAGACAGTGTATGAAAGGCAGTGACCTGGCTATCATCTTAAGCAGAGTTTGACACCTTGCTGTAGCACTTCCACTTAATGCAAAAGTGATCCAGGTTTTAGCAGGTAGCTGGCTGCAGAGTAGTTTGTTACTCAAGCTGCATTGGGCTATACATTTATCCTCCCATCTGGCTATTTTTATAGTCAGTCTGCTCTACAGCCTTAGCCAAGCAATAAAAACAAGCTGGAGCATACTGCTCTGACCAAGCACTTCCTCTGTAGTAAGCTTAAGCTTTTTTGTTACTAGCTTGAAGCTGTAGAATAACTCAGTAGTTCATGCTGCAGAAGCTCCTTGTCCCCAGACTCTACCTGGCATTCTCCAAGCTGAAGCCCTGGAGGACAGCTGCCAAGCACTGGCCAGGCTCTCGGTGGAAAACTAATCCTTGCTTCAAATAGGAAGCACACACAGAGGGTGAGAGACAACACCAGCTACTTCCCCTGCACTTAACAACAAATCCCAAGAGATGCAATTCCCCTCACCGCAAAGGCAGTACAACTGCAGACAGCCAAGGAGCTTTATCTTTAGTATGGAAAAAAAAAAAATTAAGGTTCTTTTAACACCAGGTAGGCTGGAAAGAAGCACAGAGGACTGCTAGGCTAAGAATGGGTGCCAAAACCAGGCATCTCCAGGAGCTATCCATCAGAATAAGAAACATCTACTCCCATGGGGAAGTCACCAAGCTGAGGGACAATAAATATAAATTGGTCACCAGCTAATGCCATCTTTCAGACTCAGTTGGATCTTTCTGAACCAGGCTGCTCCCTCGCTCCATACAGTTAGCACTAGCAATAGCTATTAAACCATTAACTCCCTCTGTGAATTTGAGAGACCTGTCTGAAGAGTCAGCTTTCAGGATGTCTGACAAAAGCCAGCTTGGAAGGAACCCCAACCTCCAACAGGGCAGGCTTGAAGGGGACAAGCACAGAGCAGACCAGATTTCTCTTGTTCACTAGCTATTCCTTACATGGATCAGCTGTTTGTGGACACACGCTGCAGAAGATGGAATTCTCCCCTCCCAGTTATATGCAGCTACTCCCTAGGATGGCTTTTTAGAGTTTCACCCAGCCACTTTAGAGAACTCAAGAAAACCATTTGCTGTTATTTCCTGCCTTTGGCAAGTTCTAGCTGTGTTTTTCCTGAATTGTTGAAACAGCGAGAAAAAAGCATCGAGCTTTTAACTCACTTGAATTAATAACCCTGTTCTAACAATCCCTCTCCCACACAGAGAGGACACTTGTACTCCAAAGCTGAAGTGGCTGCATGCATCATGTAGCAGAGAGCACAGGAGATTAACAGGTCAGCTTCAGACAAATCACTGTCCGGCCTTTGCAGAACACAGCTTTTCACACCTCCAAGTACAGGCTTGATTATGCCAGCTTTGACTGGCTGAACAGTCCTGGATGTGCTCAGCTCCACAATTCAGCCGCTGATTGATAAGGGAAACAGACAAAAACGCTGCAAATCTTTTAATGTGAAGCTCTGGCCAAAACATACAAGTCAAGCAATTGCCAGCAATCAAATGCTATGTTACCCGAGTGCTAATGTATGCTATCCAAGCCTTATTACTCGTCCTGAATACAAAACCCAGCAGATAATACACTGCAGAGCTCCAACTCCTACTTTCACACACAAGCGGAGAAAAATGCCTTCATTTCATCTTACATTATGTCTCTGCCCAGTTCAATCAAGTGAATTGTAGAGCTGATGCTCTTACAGCACATACTACAGATAAACAGAACGCAACCAGTTAAGCCACCTCCGACAGCTCACAGCGAAATCTCAACAGTGACACAACTCCACGCCAGCCACCAACACAGCCCAAGTCGGACAAGCAAAACTATGCAGACACAACCACACAGAGGCACACCTTCCTCTGCCTTTGAGGACAGATCCTTACAAGCAAACAAATGAGATTAATATTCTGTAAGGCCAGCTTCCTACCAGTCCTAGTGAGGCCCCTTAATACATAATACATCATCTCCACTTCTAGCATTGGTGTGCCAACAGTGGCTCTTTGAGAAACAAGAGACACTACGTGTTTTAGGCATTATTCCCCCAAC